GTGTAATGACCTGAGATCACCAGCCAGAAAGCCACTGAACCAGGGCTGGGACACGGCCCTCCTGGCCCCAGAACAAGGCCAATCACAGTGGTTCTGAAGGCTCCTTCTAGGGCTCAAGGGGTTGAAATGTGCATAGTCCAGGTGAGAGAGTTCCGGAAAAAACCTGGGTATCCCACACTCAGGAGGCTTCTGGCCAGAATCTGCAAGGCATTCTCACTTTGGAATATCCTGCTGCTTGTTCCTGCCTCACTGGTCCCTCCAGTTTCCACTCCCACCCCTCCCCCAAACCAAACTCAGCCAACAATTCGGCACACCTACTGGGTGTCGGGCATCGGGGACAATGGAGACCCAGCCCCTGCCCAGCCAAGTCCCTAGAGCTGGCGACCCCCTTTCTCAGAGCGGTGAGTGGTGTGAGAGCCAAACGGAGGACCTGGTTCTGTCCAGCACCACTGGGGATGGCTGCACAGAGCCGGGTGGCATGAGCAGGGCTGGCCCCTCTGGGCCTCAGCTTCTTCATGGTCAGACGGAGACATAACAGGGCCCACCTTGCCAGGCTAGCAGGAGGAGACCAGAGGCATGGCACCACATCCCTCTCCTCGCCCTCATCGCCTCTCCCCCGAGAGCACATGTGCACGTGTGTTTTGGGGGCCTCTGGCCACTGCGGCCTCAGTTGGAGGCTCTGAGCTCAGCCCTGGGCAGGTCCTGCAGCTAATCGCAGTTTCTGTGCCGGCCCCTGTGGCCCCTAGAGTCACTGTGAAGTCTCTGTTTCTTCATGTCATCCTGAAGAGAACGGTTTCTCCAGAGAATGAGCCCAGAACAGAAGCTGCGGACGCTCGCCTCTCCCCACCTCCCAGATGGCGAAGGGCCGCCCCAGGAGGTGGACTTGCCATTTCTCACAGCGCCTTTCAGGGTTAAGGTCAGGGTGTGCCACAGGCTGGGCTGAGGGCTGCTGAGACCCGGCCTGTGGTCCCAGCAAGGCCCCCTGAGCTGTGTCCTGGAGAGTCACTTCGGTCTGTTGTTCGGACATTGACAGCACGCTGTCTGCTGGCCCGTTGGGGCAGCGGGGGCAGAAGTGAGCAAGGCGACCTGTGTGCCTTCTGCAGCCATGATGGAATACCTGTGACTGGGTAATTCATGCCGAAAGGCTACTTCGGCTCATGGTTCGGGATTGAGTGGCCACACGTGGTGGCTTCTGGTAGAAGGCGCCCTGTGTGCCTTCTGCAGCCATGATGGGATACCTGTGACTGGGTAATTCATGCCGAAAGGCTACTTCGGCTCATGGTTTGGGATTGAGTGGTTCTGGTAGGGCCCTGTGCTGTGTCAAATGTGGCGGGTGGACACAGAGAAATGTGACAGAGAAGCTAGGAGGCACAGCCTCGTCTCAGGACAACCCATGTCCGAGACCTCACTCACCGAGACCACATCGCCTCATAAGGGCCCCCTTGTAACAGCACCACCCTGAGAATCACGTCAACATGAGTTTCAGAGGAGGCTGTCCATGTGAGCCACAGCAGGGACAAGTTAGACAGAGACGAGAAACAGACGAGTAATCAGATCGTGAAGGATGGCGACAAGGAGCAGCAGGGGAAATGAACAGCCTCTGTTTCTGCCCCGCGGTGGGGCCCACTGGGGAGCAAATGGGGCCAGGTGCAGACCTCAGGGGCTTGTGGGTGCCCTGGGAGGGGGCTTGGCGAGCAAAGTCTGCCTTCACCTTGAGGGGTGCCTTCACCTTGAGGGGATGCTGGGCCCAGCTGGTCACCGATGTCCTCTGCCCCCCTCCAGCGGCACCCCAGCACCCTGTCTTTCCGCTGCTCACTGGCGGACTTCCAGATTGAGAAGAAGATCGGCCGAGGGCAGTTCAGCGAGGTGTACAAAGCCACCTGCCTGCTGGATAGGAAGACGGTGGCCCTGAAGAAAGTGCAGGTGCGTCGCCCTCCTGGGAATCGCAGGTGCACCCTGGGCCCTGGGAGCCGAGTCTGCATCTGAACGCACAGCGGTTAACAGCTGGGGCAGGAGCCTCAGGAAGGGAAAGCAGCCCAGAAGGCAGCCCGGGGAGGCCAGGGGGTGGGGAGGGAGAGTGGTGGGAGGTCGGACGAGGCCGACTCCTGTGATCCACCTTTGGCCTCATCGAGCACTTCAGGGCACTGGGGAGACCCGCTCCTCTATGAGAAAAGGCCCGTTTTCTGCTCTTGCTCTTCCAGGGGCTCGCTGGGCCCCCTTCGTCCTGGTTTTCCATGCCATGATGGGTTTTGGGGTGGGGCTGCAGGGTTGGCTTTTGTTTGTACCTGTAAGTCAGAGGTTCTGGCCCCCCCTGAGTGAGCTCTAAAGGGCCCAGGCGCTAAGGGGCAGGGTACCGAGTACTGTCCCCACATCTCAGACGTCCACGCAGTGAGTCATGAGGTCCGGCCACTGGCCCCATTTACAGAGGTGAGCCAGCTCAGAGCGTGTGTCCTGGCCTGCCGGCTCAGCACTGGGCCTCAGTCCCCTCCTCTGTAAGTGGAAAGTAGTGGCCCTGCCTCGTGCGAGTGGCCATGAGGATTCCGGAGAAAGGGTTTTAACCCTGTGCCCAACACGTGGTAGACACTGGGTAGGTAGGTGGGGACCGCTGCACTTCTGGGGTCGCCAGCAAGGCGTTGGGAGAGCCAGGACTTGAAGTTGGGCCTCCGGCTTCCCTCGGGTGCTGTTGCCAGGTTTTAACTGCCCTGTGCTCTTTCCTCCTGCCCTAGATCTTCGAGATGATGGATGCCAAGGCAAGGCAGGACTGCGTCAAGGAGATCGGCCTCCTGAAGGTGCGTGTGCTGGGCTGAGCAGAGCCCTCGCTTCAGGGGAGCCCCGGGCCCCCCTGGGCCACACCATCCCCATCCTAGCCCCTGCCGGTTCAGGAACAAGGCCTCATTGGGGCAGGCCCTGCCCGGCCTCGTGGGCCTCACCACAGATTTGCCAGGTCGGTGCAGAGGTCCTTCCCCGGGGCGCCCACCTCAGTGCCGTGCGGTGACCTGAAGCCAGCGGGCCAGGGAGGCATGAAGTGCAGCATTGATCCAGCCTGCAGCTGCTGACTCGGCTCTGGCTTGGCTCTGGCTCTGGCTCCAGCTCTGGTTTGTTCTGGCTCTGGCTGGCTCTGGCTCTGGCTCCAGCTCTGGTTTGTTCTGGCTCTGGCTGGCTCTGGCTCTGGCTCCCGCTCTGGCTTGTTCTGGCTCTGGCTGCCGCTCGCTCTCGTTCCCC